GACGTAAAGGCGAGGATCGGCAAAGCAAGGACGAAATTTCTACAGTTGAAGAACATATAGAACTCAAAACAACTTTCAACCAATATCAAAGTGAGAATCTTCAATGCGAACGTCAAGGCGGTTCTACTGAACGGAGACGAAACTTGGAGAACTACTACAACCACCATCAACAAGGTACAAGTATTTATACATAGCTGTCTACGCAAGATACTCAACATCCATTGACTGGATACCATCAGCAATAGCCTTCTGTGGGAGAGAAAAAACCAGCTTCCAGATGAAGAGGAAATTCGGAAAAGACGATGGAAATGGATAGGACATAAATTACGTAAATCATCAAACTGCATCACGAGGCAAGCCCTAACTTGGAATCCTGAAGGGAAGCGGAAAATGGAAGGCCAAAGAACACATTACGTCGGGAAATAGAAGCAGATATGTTAAGGATGAATAAGAACTGGAAGGAGCTGGAAAGGATTGCCCTGGACAGGGTCGGATGGAGAATGCTGTTGAGCGGCCTATGCTGCTTCACGAGGAGTAACAGGCGTAAGTAAGTAAGTAAGTCTTTTACCCTTTCGTTCGAAAACATAAACAACAAAGACTGCAGCTTAACATTACCGATGCGACTTTTAAACGGGAACCTGGTTTAAACCTTTGTTTGATATTCGATTCTTAACAAAAGTTCCTGAATAAATTTTTGAGTCTAATGCTACTTTGTTTTATCTACTTAATTGTTGCAAGAAAATTGTGAAACACGAGCCTCTCAGTACCTAGTTTATATGTAGTAAGTATAAGTGACGTAGTACATATCTTCGTCATTTTCTTAGGAAACCTACAGAATCGGGTCCTCTCACAACTTATTCTAACCACCGTGAGTTGCCACGACAGTTGATGGATAGACACGCGTTACACATCCTAATCGTCCCTGCGTCTAATCTCATAGTTTCCTATTCAGATGCCATATGATACGCAAGCAGTGCCCCCACCCACACTAATGGAACACCAGTAACTGAAAGGCACCCTGTATGGTACCTTACATTGGTCTACGCACTCGCTTAGCTTTTTATTGAGAATACTACCACAGTCCTGCTAAACATCCCATGAACCCCCTGTCTCCATCAAAACAAATAAGTCTGTATTTGCTGCATATATTAATGTTATTTTTCAAAAGTAAGATATAACAGTTAGAATTGGAGTAAAATGGCAGTATACAGCAGATGCTCGTGGTACAAGACTTCATCGATTAACTGAAATAGAGAATACGGATATTAGCTTAACAGGCTTATTTAGAAAGACTAGTGTCTACTTTGAACTTACTGCATGAGAAAGTTATACTGGAACTACGAATAATGTATGAATCGAGTTCCGCAGGGCGTACGAAGCACTCAAACTGGAATACAGTTGTCCCAAAATAATTCGAACATGAAGGTGAGAATTCGCAGGTACTTTTCGTCGTAAGGGTGAACATATTAGGTACTGGTCGACATCATACCGTAAAAAGAACACAAATTTGCGAGTCGTGATATATGATCTTTAAGAAAGTGAGCTTAATAACAGTTAATTACCTTTATACTTCCTGATCATGACCCTCCAAGTTTCTTTTATGGCCAAAACAGCAAACATACACTACACACTGATAGCAGATTTGCGGTTTTTCAATGTTAAGCTTGTTTTAACTCACGACGTAATGAGTACAACTCGTCTATTACTGCTATATGGCATATTTTTTATAACAAACTCTCTGCAATAGATTGGTAGCATCTGTGATTTCATCTATAGTTGTCGGAAGTCTGGAACCTATCAAATCAATACTGATATGCCGTACTGCTGGGCACTCGGTATTAGTTTGACTCGGTGGGATCGTGTGGACCACAGTACTGAAGAAAATTAAAAAACGGAGATTGTTTCCTTTCATTTTGCCGATAATATCATAAAGGACAGTTAGGAACGAACACGCGGACAGTTAGTCACAGGCGGCAGCAACAGTCATTTTAGCTAAAAAAGCTAACTTTGGCTTTGGATATCTGAAAACAAGTAAAAAAACCGTTACCATTTTAAAACATAGGACTAGATAGCTTGTTTGAAGAAATACATTGACTTGAGTAGAAGCAGCAAAAACCCAGAAAAAAGGCTAAATGAGAAAAAATTCTGCTCCGACATTTAGAGTATTACACAAACTTCTGCATTTTACCACACTGAAACACTAAATTATGTAGCTACACAGAAGAAATAGCGGATAAAGCACTGGACGAAGAAAGCCGGCCGCCATCGCATACAAAGATCGCGGATATAATAATTCCGCTTCATTCTGGTTGGTCTCTAAGCAGACTGCCACGTTTACGAAATCGAGTTGGGTTTATAAGTAGCCACCCCGCTTGTAACCTGATACGATCTCGGTATTCTTTCGATACCACGAGATCGCCAACAAATACATCTCGACTACAGCCATCAACTGCCTTCTGATATTTGGCCTACGGGGGATCTTACCGGTTAACTGGCAGGTATTCTTCTTATAGATGTGGTCATGGTCAACCGCGACTCGACGCCACACTACAAATGAACCAATCGCGACGGTAATGCAACAAGGAAAACAGCAAAACTGTCTGTAGGCCCTTTAACCGTCCTACAATTAACACCGACGAGAGCTTGAACTACGACCTAAGAGGAGCTTCATAGGTGAGCTTGGAGGCTGGATTTATGCGTCAAATGCCGGAGCATCTATGCAAGGGCATGTCTTCTAGCCTGGATATGTTTCATCCTGCCGTCATATTCGCTGAAATATAATGGGATACTATTCGATTGGGAGTTTCTACTTACAAAATTTGCATAGAAAAACTGGTGTGGAACACCAGTTAGAATTCGTCCTCCCCTAATTTATGCTACCACCCCTTTAGTTAGCCTACTAATGCGAACGCAGATGGAAATCAACACATGCGTATAGTGTAACGGCGGAAATATCAGCCGACCTGCTAATTCAGACCAAAAAAGTGCTTAATTCAGTACTTCTACAATGTTGATTATTTTTCTATTTGATTAGTGTTAATCTAAGCACAAAATATTCGTACTAATCATAAGTTCAACTAATAACCACTGGTTATTGTTATGCGTTTTAATGCGACTTATCGATATGACTTCATACTAAACTATGATGATTAGACATATCCGAATTATCGTACTGACAAGGAATTTCTGAAACAATGAGATTTGAACCAGATAAAACTAGATGAGCACAAACAAGTGTACTGTATTCAAAATACGTAGTCAGCGGTCAATGAAGTACAAAGGATCATTATTTCACAAAATTAACCTATAAGTCCTTCTTCATCAATGTAATTCCACTTGTTTCAGCTCTTAAATAATATTTATGTGAGTTTTTAGTGGTCCTTTTTCTGACTCCATTTGGATCGTATGAATGATTGTTATTGAATTATATACTTGTCGTCTATCATCTCACGTAATCCACGTTAGTGAATGGTGGAATTAAATAGGGTATATATGAGAATGGACTATGAATTTGCATATTTTATGCACTCATTGATCTGAACATGCAATCAGGGTGGCGAAACAAAAAGGAAGAGTGGAGCAGATTGTAGAAGGAGTGTACAGCTGAGCATATTCCAACACTTTTCAACCTGCTGTTTAGAAGCATTTCTTTCTATGTATTCTAAGATAATCAAGTTTTTGGTACACGACAACTCATCTGACTATTTATTATTTTTAATTTTGTTTCCAACGCAGCAACAGGTTTCGAGAGGGACCCACTCTTAAATTACTTATCTGCTGATAGCTGTGTTTTGAAAGACAGCAGTTCACAACCGGAAGAATCAACGTGGTATACCTCTGTTTTTCAAGCCTTTAAATATGACCAATCATATAAGTCTCTTCAGTGAGCCTAAAATATAAGATTCAGGCAACTACGAACAGATTGCTTTAAGTCACCTGAATAACCGGGTTTTCAAGGCCAGTGTGAAGGTCACCTTTTCACTCTACAGAATGTCACAGTAATGTCCCACAGAGTTCAGCAGTAGATCTCTTTTGCATTTCTGTATGAATTAATCTTGTCAGGAATACGCATCTGAGTTGTAACCTTTTGCCGACGAATTTTCACTTCAGACAGAACTTTGCCTTCAGGATGATCATCTAACACTGCTAGAAGATTAGGTTTGACTTCAAAGGTGGGCCGGTAACGTTGCACTTAAAAACAACGCAAAGCGAAAAGTAGACTGTCTGAGACAAGTTGCGAATTGCGTGTACAACACGCATAACTCTTCTCCAGAGCTGTCACGAGTTTAAAATATATGAGCGTTACAGGACTTTGTTCTAAACTCTGACGCTAACCGGCTAATTACCTTTAAATCAAACTGTGTACTAGGAACGTTGAGGCACAACTTTGTCAATTTTAACGTTAAAAATTTACAATTGATCTAGGAGAGCACTATTTGGTTCTACTCAGAGTACTGAAACATAGAATTTCCCTCACTCGTTGCAAAAGGATAAGAATTATTATCGAACCACTAAATAAATTCGAGCAAGCAAATTCAAATTTTATGAAAAACGACTTTAATCGCTTGGTCTTATCCATAATAGTCTGAAGTACTCAGAAGTAGTCTGTAATTGACTTATTACACTATCACTAATGCTAGGGATCCATTAAAATACGTACGTAAGATCAACCCACACAAATTTCAGTGACAATATTCAAAATTTGGAATCACAGTATAGTAAATCAATTGTGCACATACCTGCTTTTTACGGAAAGTTAAATTTTGAAATTATCCATTCGATGAAAATTTTCAAAAGAGTTCCTGAAAGTTCTTGAGAAGAAACTTACTGCATTCCCAACGACTCATGACAGTATTTCTCCATAATTCACTAGTATCTAACTTTCGCTCTTTTAATATTTCTAGGTCCATTTCTAGAGGTTTGTGCAGTTTGATGCTTTCAGATATATAAGTCATTTAGGCTAAAGTTTTCAATCTCGGTCACTACAACATAAACCGTTTGAAAGTTTGACCTTGGATATTGAAGAACACGAGGTCACTTGATGCGTTTATACAGTTTTCGTGTTACACGATGAAACGTCAGCCTCCAAGTGTTATAGTCGGAACGTCTAAATCCAAGATGTATGTTTTACCATCTGCACCAACATTTCTGAATATACCGTTGGTCCCAACGAATGTTTTATTGATAAACAGTGTTATTATTTGTATGTCTTAGTATAGAAGTATATTTAAACTATTTATACAGCATATAGGGTAATCTATCTCGAAAAAAATGTGAATCTTTTTAAAGAGCGAACATTTTTCGAGAATTTTAGCTCAAATTGATGGAAAACCTAGTACGATTTCATCGAAATTTACACTTCAAATTGCATTATTTTATCGTCTTTCACCGTAATATAAACCGAGCCATCCACTCTTCATCCGAATTTCTACTTAATCAGTCCACAAAAAAATTATCTCTTATTAATTCACTCATATTGATCTTGGCTTTCCTAACGGAGTCAACACTTGTATGCAATTTATGGAATCTATAAAATTGTTACTCGTGGCGAGACTCTAATTTAAGGACGACCTTTGAACGAATTTTAAGTGACCTTGACAATTATTAGCCAATCAGAAGACAGTTAGTATAAAGTAAAAATATATTACAAGAAAGTAATGAATTACAGTGGATATTCTTCTTTTACATGATTTAAAAACTTGTTAAGGTTTGATAAAGGTTCAGAGGCTCTGAATTCATAATGCATATTGTATAGAAACTCGTCCATAGGGTTAGTGGTTAGGGTTGTAGCCTGTAAGTAGACACATCTCTAAAATCCGATGTAAACCGATCGCATGTTAGCACCCTAATCCTAACCTAACCCTTAGCCTAACCCTAACCTTAACCTAACCCTAATCTAACCCTAACCTTAACACTAAACCCTAATCTAACCCTAACCTTAACCTAACCCTAAATACTAATCTAACCCTAACCTTAACCTAACCCTAAACCCTAATCTAACCCTAACCTTAACCTAACCCTAAGCCCTAATCTAACCCTAACCTTAACCTAACCCTAAACCCTAATCTAACCCTAACCTTAACCTAACCCTAAGCCCTAATCTAACCCTAACCTTAACCTAACCCTAAACCCTAATCTAACCCCAACCCTAAGCCCTAATCTAACCCTAACCTTAACCTAACCCTTAACCCTAATTTTAACCCCTAACCCTATGGACGAGTTTCTATACAATATGCATTATGAATTCAGAACTTCTGAGTCTTTATCAAACCTCAACAGGTTTTTAAATCATGTAAAAGAAGAATATCCACTGTAATTCATTACTTTCTTGTAATATATTTTTACTTTATACTGTCTTCTGATTGGCTAATAATTGAAATTGCTCAAACGCTTCTCATTGGCTCGTCCCTAAAACAGAGTTTCGCCGTCCCATCTGTTGTAACCTCTCATTAATCACCTACTCTCTAAAATCCGCCGTGAACCGATCGTATGTTAGCAGCGCGTGTTGAACTTGGCTCCGTGACCTTGAAATTGCTCAAACGCTTCTGATTGGCTCGTCCCTAAATTAGAGTCTCGCCTTACTCGTCTTAGATATTTATTTGAAAAATACAAGTGTTATCAACCTAGACTGAAACCTCAAGATTTCGTAATTACGAAAGTTTGACAGTTAATCTATAGTTTATATGAAATCATATAAATTGTCTCCACGTGCATCATATATGTCCCAACTCTATGTACCGATTGAGAAAGCTTCATTGTTTAAAAAACAATCTATAGGGGAAGTATGAATACGGTGTAAAAATTTTGAAATACACCGTTTATTTTGCACTTCTACTTCGTCAGTGAGAACCTAGGTTATCATTCATTCAATCCTGAAATTGAAGAGCGATAAGTATTTATAGTGGAGTTTGTTTAAATCCGTTTTTTACTAATATACGACAACATAAGGTCAGGCTCACAGTGATGTTCAACAAAATTTTACCCCGTCTCTATAGAACGGAAGAAAAGCTAGCTATGAAGCATATTTCATTATCTTTTCCTCCATGATAACGCTTACTGAGCTTATCTTTCATGCCACAAAGGTAATCTTGCAATCGGACGTGGTACTATTGTAAGTAATACTAGAGAGTTGAAGTCGTGATAATAATATTTGTGGCGATCAAGAACAACTAAAACAAATCTCCACTTAGTATGCTTTTGTAGAATCTGCGTTTCTGAAAACCCTTTTGGTGGTAGTTTCAAACACCGCAAACTGGATGACTAGTTCAGTTTTCATGATGTAAGAAGAGATTTATTCCATGGATGTTTTTGGATTGTCACTCACTAGTCGTTTCACTGTCGCCATCTTAAATACTAGAGGATCATCAGATTAGCAAGTCAGCATACAAATATGTCCCTCATATCTTGTTAAAGACTAATGTTCAGCACTTCTAATTCCACTTCAGTCAACAGAAAAGTGTGAACCTGACAGTAAAGCACCAATCTTTAGAAGACATCACAAGTAAATTTAATATGTGCTCATGACTAAGTATGAAACACTTCAATATGCTTATGTCACTAGAATCGTTGACTTCAGTAAAAAAAACTAACATGGTCTATGGGAGATCTAAATTTATTTCATTCATTATCACCTATGTAAGTAATTAGTTCAGGCTTGCCTAGGCTTGTTTCTATACTGTCCAGCTTAAATTGGGTGGATTTAATACCCCTCACGTAATAAACCTGTTTTATAAAACCGGAGGTAACTAGATTACCTGTCGTAGGCAAACAGTAGACTGTTCGATGTAGATTTAGGTGTAAATGTTAGGACGTTTCACCTCCCAGAAAGACATTTGAGGGAAATGTCTCACTATTCCTCCATGGTAGGCAACAAAACAGACTATATGTCACCTTCCCCCTTTGTTTACACAATTTTTCTTTCAAGAATGTCACTATTCTCTTGTTTGCTTGAAGAGTCATCTGTTTACTGTTTAATATAGTAAGTACAACTATGTTAGTAGTTATACAACTCTTCTTTGATTGTTTGGATACTATTCCTATTCTTAATAATTATGGTCGTGATGACTTTCTAAAAATACTTATAGTCTTTAGTAATATTTTGACAGTGAAGTTTACAAATGACGAGTCTTATCTTTTCCCCTTCTTCTTGGTCCATAATGATTGTTCTTTTTATAGAGCGAAAAAAGTTTCGCCTGGCGAATTCATGAATTACTGTTGGTTAAAAGTAACAAGCCTGCCAAAACAACACTATGAACTGCCTTAGTTTCAAGTTCGTGTCTTTGTTCATCACTAGCCCATGTTTTCTAGTAAGTTTACCTTAGACTACTTCATTGTAAGCTTTTGCCCATCAAAACCTCCATAGAACTAAACCTAAACGTTCAACAAATGATCAGACAACTTGTGGGTGTGCTTTGGACCATACAGTTTGGTACTTTTCACTTTGAGACTTCATTTTTTATATCTACCGCTACTTTTCTTATAATTTCCTAAAGCCTTTCAAACAATCTTATTTCTGTATAGTATGCCTAATTCTCCGCTAAAAGTGTGCTAACGTGTCCTGGAAGTAATAACGTACTATTATTAGTTATTTGTAGTGTACACCAATTATTTCATTTTGAGTCAATCTATCTTTTAGGCGTCAAACGACCTTGGTCCCCACCGAGAATCTTTCACAGTCAATAAATGAAGAATTGTGGGAAAATACCGTCTCTCTGTTAGTATATACACATCCCAAGTGTGAACCCAGTAGCAAAGTAATACTTCAGGCTAGAAATAAATCCGTATTACGATTAGATTTTAGGCCTAGATATGGACGGAACAATTATTGTTCCATCTTCAGGAAAAGTTTTTCCAAAAGACTACAAAGATTGGAAGTAAGATTTATCTTATTCAATAACTTATCACTTTAGATTGATCAACGACAATGTTATCCCTAAGCTCAAGGAATATTTTGATAAAGGATATAAAATTGTTTTGTTCTCTAATCAAGTACTCGCTTTTTATATTACGTTACTTTCTAAAATCACCTCTTCAGAAAGGTATAACAAAAGGCTACCAAGATATACCTAGTTTCAAGTTAAAAATAGAAAATATTGTAGATAAATTAAACATACCAATCCAAGTAATAAAAAATACATTCGACCATATGTAATGCAATCTAGGGTTTGTTTTCTATCTTGGATGATAGAAACCGCAAACCTCTCACCGGAATGTGGGATTTTCTTAATGAAAAAGGTAATGCTGGAGTCTCTATTGATTTGTTCGCATCCTTGTATTCTGGCGGTAAGTTATCATTCGTATTCACTTTACAACTGTAATATCAGGAAAATATTTTTATTCTAATCTTCCACGAGATAATTATTTGGGGAAATGTCATAAAAACTGACCTTTTAAATATTACTAACATGTCTAATAGGGGGCTCGTCAACCACGTTCTGAATGTGCGAAAATTAAACCAATATAACATTGCAGAACCCCGCGCAAAAATCATTGGTCCATATTGTTCGAGGATGCACAGATTAACGAGGGATATTTTTATGTTCATAAGAAGTCTATTAGTACATATATCCCATTGTAGTGGGGTTTTCAGTTACTTACCCTAACATTTTGTGTACCTTCGTCTAGATGCACATAATTCTTTTCATATCTCAAATTATTATCAGTGGCTTTATAAATACGTATGATATCTTAGTTCAAGCACCTGTAGCTTTTTTTCACATATTAACGCTGCTTCATTACGTATGGGTAGGTGGTTTAACCTGCTCCCTAACTAAAGGTACGTTTATGTGACTTCAAGCTGCACTTCAGGTGTGAGCACAAACCAAACTAGGTCCTTTAAGATTCAAATTTGAAACTTTAGTGGCCAAAAACTATGTCCATGCATAATTTACTTTAAGTTACCATTGTTGGTAGCGTCCCGCTTGAACCAAAGCGCGTGAAGTGAAATTCAAGCCTTCGGTGTAACTAAAACTTCTTTGGTCACCAAGCTATCACTACATTTTTTAACTCTCCAGTCGGGAACCTATAACTGGTTCCTTCTGTTATTTTTAAAGATGAATAACTATTTACTTTCCAATTCTTTTTTACTTGACTTAGTATTATTTACCACTTATTTCTCCCTGGCTTTTTTTCTCATCAATTTAGATTTGTTAAATAAAATCCATTATAAAAACATTCACCGAAATTTGAACTAGCAGTGCTAAGGAAATCGGGCGTCAAGAATGTAGAAGACATTCAGTGTAAGGCTAGTATTTTAATTGATCAAGATTTTAAAGTCAATTATCAGCTCAGACGAGACTGTTAAATAAAATGCAGTTATTTAAATTCCAATAGCTGTAAGCTTTGGTCAGCTAATATTACATGCAATTAGTTCCCTTTATGAATTTAAATAAAGCCAGAACAAATATTGATGCAGAATAATATCAGTTACATAGCCAAAAAGCCGCAAAATTTAAGCAAGCCTATTCAATTAGTATAACCATTTAGTGTAACATGGTTTCATATCCATATAGGTTTTATGGCTTTATCAACATTACGAATTAGTGCTGCCTTGTGTTAGCCTACTTTACAACATCTGTTTATTCAAATATGATCTAACACTTCACAAGTTTGATCTCATAAGGATAGAGCACAACCACGGAAAACCAGTTGTCCATTAACTCTTAACCCTTCGTTGTAATCGTCGCCTAACGGTTAGAACATTCGACTTTCAATTGTTAAGCCCTAGGTCCAAACACTGCCTCACTCACTGTGATATAGACAAGCGGATAGCATCTCTTACTACATACACAAAAATGGGCGATTCAAACCCGAGAACATATTAATTTGTAATTACTAAATGAGTCATACTAGTTATTCCTCAAATTGGTTTTGAGCTTACAACTGGTCAGGTCATCAGAACAAGTATTATAAACTATGAATAACTTAAAATAATAATTATTATTATACAATGTTTTAAATCCTTCAGTGATCCTAAAAAGTAATGTAAACCGATGAATCCCCACACTAGGTAAAAACAACCGTTCCTCGTTAACAAATAAGTGCACAAATGATACTAATGTTTAAAGTCAACTTCTTTACACACAGTCCATTCTATTTTCCCTCAATAATTAGAACAAAAAGTATTCGGAATGTAAACTCTGATTGTTATTCTTTCAAAAAGCTTATGTATTCTGTAATGGATTCATTAATAGTATGACTTTGTTTACTCTGTTAAAATTAACGGTTCTATTTACACTCAGTGTAGTTTATGAATAGCCTCCAAGTATCAAAATGCTTCACCCTTAGTATATTTGATAAGATTAATTTATATTACTTTTTAAAGTTATAAGTAGATTACTTATATTTAATTATTTGTCTCACCTGTCCGAAAAATCTTCGTCTATTAACTTCAATGGAAATAGTTCTGATTATCATCAACAAGTTGTCTTTTGTAAGGCATTTATCACAAAGCAACGTCTGTATACTCTTACTAACGTAAGAATTATATAAATACAAAGCAACTAACTTCGCAGGTAATTTGACATTAAAAATAGTGACATGGTTTCTGCCATTGAATTCAATTAATTCTACGAAACATATCTTTAAGTTATGTATGCTCAGAAATTGTATGTCCAGCTAATGTATGGTATTACTATCCTCAGAATAGTGTTGTTCACCTAATGATGGACAAGGAGATAACCCCAGAAATACCCGAGGTTAGCATAGGCTGCTTTCTTTAAATGAAAAGACTTTTCTTCACTTCACATCACTAATATGTCTGCTTAAATAATGAATTTACCAATGATCTTCACTAGTTCATCATAGCAGTGACTTTAGACATAGGGATTTTACAATTTAACTTTATTCTTTATCTAAACGGTTCAAATCATAAACACGCGTAAACAAAATCATCTTATTAACCGAGTTCGATGTATAATATAGTCTGTATTTCATCACAATTACACGATGTCGTCTGGTTATTCCTAATCAAAAAACACTTCAACAAATAACATATCTATAACACAACCACACATTTTCATTAAATCTGTTTCCAAAAATACATCAACGACGAAAAGTGGAACTATAAAATACAGTTAGTATTTATCGAAGTCCTACTTTGATTCTCTTTTCATTAGTTCTTCATATCTGTTTGGGGTTTAAGTGATGTACCAAGCTTATCTGGACTGTCTAACAACTAATTTGTAAGTATTGGATCTCCTTATTATCATCTTTCTAACAATAATTTACTAGGTTGCGAAACATCAAAGATTCAATTATCTAATCATTGGGATTTTACAAATATTTCATTGTAATTGTCACTAACAATTTCTCCCTTGTTGTTTTGATTAGTTACCTAATGACTGTAACTAAAAACTTATTACTTTTTAAGCCAATAATGTAATGTCTACTACTAATCTTTAACAGATGCTGCTGGTCGTCCAGCTTCTGGAAAGCGTAAGAAAGATCATTCATGTGCTGATCGTTTAGTAAGTTGATTGTGTTTTCATTTGGTCATTTTCTATCTGTTCATAATTATGCAATTCAGTAAGAGAAAGGTGGTTATAACTTTGAATTTTTCTATGAATATGTTCCCAAAAGCCTTCGAACAAGAGGAGGAAAAATTTTAAATGACGCAGTTACTAACATTTCTTAGACACATGACTTCAGGTCGATACCGTGCAATATTCCAAGGTGATTAATAAACATCCAAGCTCCAGTCTTCTGAAGTTTGCAGAAACTCTTGCTACCAGGCGTCAGAAACCTGATTTATGTGTTCAAAAGGAGATGATTGTTAATCTCTCTTTGACTTTATAACAAATATTCCTTCATTACATCATCAAATTTTGTTTAACTCTTTCCTTCAATTAATTACATCACTGCGTCTTTTTATTTCAACTGAACGGAAAAAGAATTCATGTTGTTTCGCCTAAATCTTTTCTCTTGCTTTCTTCGAGAATTCTATAACAGTTGAAATAACAACTTTATATACAGCAGATTGTTTCACATCATTTGCACCTAGGAGAAAATAATACTGTTTGTCTACTTGTATTAAAAGAAAAACGATTGAAAAATACACAAATTATTTTGATAATGGCTGTGTGCTCGAAAGTCAAGTGGTTATTTGAAAACTCCTATGAATCTAATATATAAAGTGGAATTTATTTTAGGATATACATTGTCTTGATGTTTTATATTCCTTTTTTTTAACATAAATATTGTTGACAAATAATTTCAGCGAAGAGATCTCTTTTCAACGAATTTATTATCAAGCTGTACAATCGTATATATATGAAATTTTTTTGTTTTTTGTCAAAGTACTAATTCCGTGAGTGAATGTGAACACAATTAACCATGACATAATAAAAAGATTATAATACTAGATTAGTACTTTTACAAAAAAAAAAAAAAAAAGTCATATATATACGATTGTACAGCTTGATAATAAATTCGTTGAAAAGAGATCCCTTCGCTGAACTTCGTGTATAAATATTGTTGTCAAGGCAATTTTTTCAACTTATCAGGTATCATTTTCTCAACAAGACAGCTTTTGGATATATATATTTACACTACCTTAACGTTCAGATGTTCACTCTGTAAGCATAACTTTAGCAAACTAACAAATCTGAAGATTTATAGCTTAAATGTCGGGTTATTGGAGATAACCGATATTAAAACCTGAATCTAATTTTTATGCTAGCAAGACGTGCTTCCAGTCTTGAGGGTTTCAATCTTCCCATGGGATTTAAACCCACATCACCCAACTTTACAGTCTGTGACACTACCACTAAGCTATTAAAATTTTGAATGACCTCCTATAGGGCTTAAGTATGTACAAAAATTGATCATTGAGTAGTGACTTATACCTTTTAATGTTGATCGAATTCTGTTGATCAAGTGATCACTTGTCTAAAGGACTCTACATAGCGTACACTATGTTCAGATGTTAAGTAGTTGAAAGTAGTCTATAGTTAACTCTGGACGTAACAAACATGACATCGGTCGCCACTCAGTGATCAACCAGCGTTAAGTTACAAGTATTAATCGTCATTCTAATGGTAATTACTCTTAATTCTCTAAAAACAAAAATACAGTAATTATATTCTAACGGTCTTATAAAATTTTGATGTGAATTAGTATCATTCCGTTTAAACACGATTTTTTCCTGTTCCTCTCTCTTTTTTCATCTCATCTTATTACTTCTCTCCACATTCTACATAGTTTGCCCAAAATGTTGGAATTCGCTTTTTAACACCAGAACAGCTATGGTTTGATCAATTAGAAACAGAGAAATTTGAGATGCCTAAATTCAATCCAACTGAATTGTTAACTAATGACGATGTACAAAACAGTAAATTACCAAGAGTTGACCGACCAAACAAATCAGAGCTTATTTTAATGGTAGGACCTCCTGCGTGTAAGTAATGATTATGATATTGTTTACCTTGACTTTCTTTAGGCGGACAATTTGTAACTGATTTCCATCACGAAATAAATTGCGAGTTTTATCTTAGTTCAGGGTTCAAAACAGTCCACACCTAAGGATTCAAGGTCTCATCATAAGTACAATGTTTTTAAGGCACTAATTCAAAATCTAACGATTAATACTTTTATCTCTAATCACCACATAATGCAATAATAGATACTTATCCATTGGTTAGTCTCCCTGTCTAGAAATTTGAGAGGTCTTAGAAGGTAATCAACAATGAGCACAGTATCATCATTTTTATATTAAGATTTGCGGCTCAGGTTCATGGTTTCGGTGATGTGCTCTCAGACTAGTTATTCAATTACGGAGCTTTCATAGACATGAGTTCGACTGGACAAACGTCTGAAATCTGTATTGGGAAACCCTAAGAATGTCAGAAAATTTCTGGGATCATGTCAGTCAGGTCAATCGATAATCAATAGACACATTGACGTAGATTCAATTTATCAACGCATACAGAAAACTCTATCAGTCACAGTGTCTAAGACTAATCGAACAATAGTAAATGGAAAAATAAGAACGAATAGAAACAAAAGGCCATCATAACGAACTAATTCAACACTAGTGGAATAACTGAAAAGCTACTTTGTGTAAATAAAGTAGACGCTGAATATGTTGTTCAAAACGACAATGAAAACTTCACGGTTAAAGTATTTTATAGCTACGAGAACACAACATTTGGGATGGCATTCCCTCTACATTTTTGCATTTATATATATTCTATATGCATTCCTCTCGATTTCTAGTCTTAATTTACCTGCTGATTTGTGGATTAATTGTTATTGTTTGTTTTTGTTTTTCTCCTTGATTTTCTTATACACCTTTTAGCTGGTAAATCGCACTTTTGTAGTCGAGTGTTGGCACCATTAGGTTATGAAGTAATTAGTAGGGTAGGTGTTACAGTGTGCTTTCTTGTTGTTTCAAGATATGTTTTGTGAATTGTCTACCTATTCATTGCATCATCTGATCTATCTATCTATCTATCTATCTATCTATCTATATATATATATATATATATATATATATATATATATATATGGTAGTCGTATATAAAAAGTACCATAGGAAATATGTAGACATGCGTAACTATCTTATTTTCACCTTATAAATTGTATTTTTGTTTGTTTTTGATAGTGATGTTGATTTGGTTCATTTTCAATCCTACCATTTATGTGTAGATTCACAATTAATTAGAAAAATAATTCCCAATTGTTTGTATAAACATACGGTTTATTATCATGTTTTCACTTACTGACAATATGGATACTATTATCAACGTAAACAAACCTTAAAATATATTTTTTTTATCGATGTTATATATGTATACCTTCTAGATCTGTTATTTTATCCCCATATATTCAACCTTTACGTCGTAATATCATAGCTCAGTTTATCTGTTTATTGTTTTAGTTCACAGAGTAATACCACCAACATTCTTGCACCACTTACAACTTCACAAACCTAATATTCAAAATCACTCATTGTTATCTAAAACGAGTTATTTCTGAATGACTTGAAACAGTTTTGTTTAGCGATCCAGTTGTAAAGCAATAGCTTTATATAACCAAGATTATTTTGTTTCTTGAAAGACACTAACCCCCTAGTAAAATACAACTAATCATGTAGAAAACGTAAAATGCTAAGGTTGTCTTGTAATTTGTTTAATCTGTTCGAATTCAGAGATTAAATTTAGCTACATCGAATAGATGTTAATAAAAGACTCTATGATTATTCAAATAAAAAAGCAAAACAATAACTTTACAAAAATTACAACATGAACCGACCTTAGACAATTATTATAAATCAGGAGGCACGAAATAGTTACTTAGTCCTAGTATAATGAACGAACTTTCAGGTGGGAAGACCTATTTACTACTTAGTGCAAAACTGCAATGTCTTCGTAAATTATGAAAACCATACATTAAGTACTTCATTTGCACATCTTCCTTCAGTTGTCCTTTACATCTTTCATGATTCTTCCAATTCTCAATCCCTTTATATTTCCCTTTCTGTCTTCTCCAGTTCAATCTTCTCAGCCTTCTGACAGGCATTCCACTTCAGATCGGTATTACATACTACTTATTTCTGTCAATATAAGTAGCATATACTACATAGTATGAGACTCTTGAGCTGTGTATATTCACAATGCCACCGGGGGTCGAGCCAAGAAGCTTCAGGTCCCGCGGTGAGTGCTTAAACTTTAAACACTAGGTCTCCATCAAGTGGTTTACATTCCTAATTTTAATAGACTGCTTATCACAACTAAAGATCAGGAATTCTATCCCCAATTAAATTGTAGATGCCAATTTCTGAGGAGTCCCATACTAGGACAAAAAATCCGTCTTTATTTATTTATTTATTTGAACACATAAATATTGGTACAAGAGGGCACCAAATATATATGCGCCACACAAAACAATGAGAATTTAAAGACAAGGGAAAAAAAGGTCAGGAGCGTGAAAGAAAAGGGGAACAATAACGAACAGAGTGGTGTAAGGTAGTGTAATAATAGTAATAATGGGGAAACAGAAAGGTACAATCAGAAGAAATCTTTCAGTTAAGGAAGAAGCAATCACTTTTTACGAATAAAGTAAAAGAAGGTTACAGCAGGATCGCCACTGCTTCTATTCTGAGCCATATGTGATAACGTCTCTAGCCACTGTGTTGCGCCAGCCCTTTGCAGATTTCTTTCATACCACGACACCATATCATACACTGACCACCTCTCTGCTTTTTCCAACCAGTCCCAGAGTCGGCAAATAATGCACGACGTGGAATTCTCTGGGACGACATTCGTAGAACATGTCCAGGCCACCGAGGTCGATGTTTCAAGATGGTGACATCGATTGCATTATCGTCTCTGTGCCCGAACACACGATGCCGAACCTCTGCATTACTAACATGGTGTTGCCACTGAATGTCAGCAATCCTTCGGAGACAACGATGATCGAACACAGAGTCGTCTAACATCCTTAACTCGGAGAGGTCAGGTTTCACAAGCATAGAGCAAAACCAGGGCATTTGGGGGCAATAGCCGTCTAGTGCTCCCTGAATTTCAATGATTTCTTAACCAAGTTCAGTTCGTGTTTCAAACTATGAAATGCAATAATCTTCAGAAACTCCTATCATTAAGAATAAATTTTTCAAGTTGATCTGCATCAGAACACTTATTCACATGCACTCAAACTTAAAAAAGACGCATTCGAAAAAAGCATTTATGTGACCTCCAGACCACTGAGTCAGCATTCAGTAGTTCAAATGTCAATTTGCGATATTGCACAATCCTCTTCCATTGCCTGAGATGAATATCTGTTTCACACTCGACACTGATATGATGTATGAAAATTCAGCAATCTCCACAAATCACCTACATTAGTCAAAATAATATACATTGACCGACTGTTAGTAAAGGTATTTTATTAACTATATATAAACCTTTTCCTATAGACTGGTCATAATAAGATGGATGAATAGGTAAAATTTTTAATCTCGTGATTTCATATGCATGATACCCGAATATGAATGAATGTTTGGATATTCCATACTACCATTTTTATTATGCAGTATTATAGTAATTACCACAAAAATTAATGGATGTTTCATAACAGTTTTTGTGTGATTTTCAACATCAGTGATATATGTGTGTGTACAATGTGTTGATCATGCCTGTTTCCTTTAATGCTGCCGGACACACACTACAACATTCCCTCATTATCATAGTAATAATCTACTTGAATCTCTTCTATTCTCTCTTTACTACTTAATTACAAATCTTGTTGTGTCGACGTATATTTGTATATATGTGTGTATACGGTAATGATGATGGTGGTGTTGTTATTGTTGTAATCTTGAGAAACTACCCAATTAAAATCAAGAATAAAATTTATGGATTGGGAAAAATTCCCAGTTCTTTTGGTTTCTTTATTCCTCGTGCTTAGTCGTTCCTTTCTCTCTCACTCTCTCTGCGCGCGCGTTTATGTACATACATAAAATGTAAAGAAAATTAATTAACTTAATTTTTTGCTTGGAATTGTACTAAAAACTTTTTTTTAATTTACTTTTAAATTCCACTTCTTAAATGGTTTGACCTTCAACTACCATTTTTCCACAAATTCAAATTCAATATAATAATATTCCCTGTTTTAATCAATGTGCTACTGTTCTTAAACGTATTTCTTCAAGGTATTCTTTTAGAGATAAAATCGTAGAGCTGTAACTTTGATAATTTTGAAAGCATTTTGACTTTCAATCAATAGATTGTAAAGTCGAACCTCGCTCCCTCTACTTCTAATACAATCAAGCATATTGATCTAGCTAAGTACATTAAGGTTATTGTTAATTAGTTAGAAGATTAGATAGTTAGCATAAATCTATTATAGGGAAAATTTCATTTAGACATTTAGCAAAAGAGCGAATATCTTAGTCACGCTGAGAAAAAAAGTTTATTTTACTGTGTCCACTGCCTCAGTCATTAAATAGTACTTTGCCATCATTTGCGACAATACCTTAATGTCTTTATTTTGATTCAACATGAGAATAAAGGTGTTCATCATTTAAAGGTACATGTATAACGCCTCCTAGTTTTCAGTGCTTTTCTAACCTGACAACTTTCTGTAATAAAAAATTTCATCTTTAAACTAACTGAATTTCTATAAGCCGTTTAAATAAATATTTGATTTTTTTTCTTGTGGTTTACACTGCAGGATAATGTTGGTACATGGCAAAAATGTGTACAAGCTGTTGAACAAGCTATATCTAAAGGTCTTCCAGTTGTAGTCGACAATACGAATATGGATTTAGAGTCACGAACACGTTATATTAAAATCGCTAAAGTATGGGATATACCAGTGAAATGTTTTATCATGGAGACATCTATGGAACATGCTCAACATAATGAACGTGTAAGACTATTCATTTACCTAATTTTTTGTATAAATTTGGCGTAAGCGAGATATCCGTCTTCCAGTCAAAAGGCGAGTTTACCGAGCAGCAGTCCGCTCCGTTCTACTTTATTGATGTGAAACATGGCCATTAAGAATCAAGGATATTCGTAGGTTACCGGTTTCCGACCGTAGGTGTCTACGAAGCATCGCTCGTGTATTTTGGACCCTGGAATAAGCACTGTCTGGGCTAAGAATAGAGTACTTGGTAAATATGCGAAATTGACTGATGAGGTAATAAACCTTCATCGATTGAGGTGGTCGGGACATGTGTCACGTATACCTAACCACCGCCTACCTCGATAGGCGTTGTCTCCTGGTGTGTGATTAGGCTGTAAGAAAGCGAGGGACGACCAAACCAAAACATGGCACCAGTCCATGAAGTCACTGACAAGTGGTCTGAGTCATGTCGGTAGGTGTAGACTACCTGGTTGGGGACCGCGAGATGATAGCAACCGATGGTTAGAGACCCTGAATGACATGGCTCAAAATCGTTTGCAATGGCGCAGGTGCACAAACTCTTTGTGTTTTACCAAATTTTGATCTCCTTATTCCTCCTTGTCTCTTTTTTTTCTCTTCCCAAATTTATTTCACTGTATTATACTCTTTAAATAACATCTCCAAACACTAACTTTCCTGATTACTGCTTATACTCTTATTACCTCTACTACTACGGGATTTGAATCGACCACTACATCTCTGTGCTAATGTGGTGTGGCAACTCGAACTGATGTACGTATGTACGAAGTTCTACGTTGTTACTGACTGACTATGTTTAGTAGCGTTCCAGAATTTTCCGGAAACCAAAGGCCATCTAAAATACTATAAAACTCTAGATTTCCTGTACATAAAGGAACCTTAGAACAAAGCGTTTCTTCCATATTTCGCGCCTTTTCTATCGTGTTCAAGTCTCTGTGTTGTTTTAGCCTGAGGGTTACTAGAGGAGCTTAGGAACCGAATCTAGCGTTCAATTAGAAGACTTATCACTTATAACGTTTTTACGTCTTAATTTCACCAATTTATGTTTTATTCCCGAATTGTATCTTCGGTGCTTTATCTTTTCAATCATCAATGATAGTGAAACTACCTCTTCTATTGTGGGATTTGGGTTGACAATTTCATCTCTGTGCTAATGAGATATTGTAATTTTAACCGAAGCACATACGTACCTGTTTCTACGTTATGACTAACTGATAATGGATTGGCAAGTGGATAAGTATCAAAAATAGAGTTAAGGGAATTTTCATCTATTGTGAATACTTTCGATTGTATTCCATTCTTGTTAGAACCTTCAAATATGTAGATAGTCACGTAAATGAATCATTAAGTTATAGTTTACCATTGGGATCACTTTCCTTCAACAACACTAACGGATTTCCCCCTACCAATCGTGCCCGCTAACGATACTGAGAGTGGTTGGTTCAGGCAACTCCTTGTTGCCCCCAGCCAGCTCAAAATACAAGAAAACCTAATGGATTTACCTCCCACTATTATACTGTTCCATGATAGTATAAAGCAGTTACAAGGCCAAGCACATCATAAATGGGAAATTACGGTGTATTTCTAGATTATTTGTGGTGGAAAATATTTGAATTATTTAGCTACATAGCTCAAATTGTCATTCTGGATAACCTCATTACATCCCTTACATGCACAATGTGGCTCATAGTTGAGTACACGAATCTGTATTTGTTAAATGAGTTTCATCAAAATAAATCATAACGTATAGTGACAAACTGTCGATGGTTTTTCAAACATTACATTTATCTGAAATATACAACTAATGCTAGTTTTCACTTTCTCTATATATTATTTCTTTTGATTATTCCATAGTTTCGCGCTCTAACAAATTCGTCGCATAAACCAATCAGTCAAATGGTTTACAACATGATGAAGTAAGTTTTTATTAAATCCATTTTTATCATTGGCTTCACTTAATCTAAACATTGTTTACACTAAAATGTGCAGATATTTTGGACTCTCAGCTGTTTTATAAGTGATTTTCGATTAAGTGACTATAACAGTAGACTTCAAAAAGCTGGGTTGGTTGCTTGCCAGAGTTTTTTTAGTTCCTTACTTGGAGAGAACTTCCACATAACTATCGTCCATTTTGTATCAAGGAGTCCCTTACTAGAACGAAACAGTTATCTCTGATTTTCAATGGTATCTGAAATGAGATCAATCTATATTAAATACAACTTACAAATTAAATCCAATTTCCATAAAACGCCCTTCAAGTAAACCGTCAATGAATTGAAAATGTTGACTTTTTGTGGAAAATTTAGTTCGTTTTACCAAAAATACATGTTGTCACACCTTTATGCTATTCATTGAAATAAATGATATTTTATACTCTCTTTATGTTTGATCTGATGGATCTTAGTGTGTTTTAGTCATTGTAGCTGACTGACTGAGTCATTGAGTGTGGAATAAGTATCCATCGTTCTTATTCCCTACAAAGATTCTAGTCCTATTTGAGATGGGTGCTCAATCGATACATCCTATGTGTCCACATCGTAAAGGTTTATCACATGTGAAACCTAAAATAGAATGTATATCATCATTAATGTTCTTGCCAACCTAGAGGCATAACTGCGTTATTCAAGAAAATGCCACACAATTAGTTGTTTAGACGTTATCACTGTCAATGGGAATCGGAGTGTTACTATTAGTAGCAACCTTTTCAGTAATTTTTTGTTTATAGATCTTTTCGAAAAATTGTTCACATGCAGTACAACCACTAATTGAGCAGTGGTAATTGACTAACTAATACGAACTAATGACTGTATGTTAGTTTACGATGTTTTAAACTTCCACGATCTGAAGCAATGAATGCATACGTGCACATCGCCTTCCTCAATACTCTGTACTCGATCACATAGTCGGTAAGTCTGAGAAATTTATTAATTTCAAGACAAAACAAAATGTCACTGATTACTGATCCTAATTATTTATTATTGATTGCTCTAATCAAACAGGATACTTAGCAAAAAAATATTATTTGAAAAAAAGAACAACAACTAACAATTATCACTTTCCACAAAAAAATTTCTCTTTCATCCAATCGTTTCGTGTTTCTTCTCTCATTTATAAAAACAGATCAAAATATGAAAAACCAACTATGGAAGAAGGTTATCAAGAAATTATAACTATTCCATTTATATTAGACAAGAATATGGAAAATCTTTCATTATATTGTAAATATTTATTGGAAAAGTAACTAGCTGGATTCTATTTGTCTTTTTTTTATTTTTTTTAACTAATCGATTATTATGTTATTACATTTCCTCTACTTCATGCAATATCCTACAGTGATATTTTTACTTAAACTGTATCCTTTCATTGCCTGGTCCTATGTTATAGATGACTGACCGACTGATTGTATCCCTTCATAATTTTATTTTTTCATGTTATGTGAAAAAAACGACTGCAGATTTTCTTTCTCCAATACTCATTTTGATATAAAATAAAATCTATATTTATTTTGATAAATCTGCGTTATTATTATCATCGTTATTGTTTCTATTGTTCAAGTTGGTTAGTTTTTTTTCCCATTATGTTCAAACTTTGCCTTCATTCTGTCAGTTTGTGTGTGATGTTTTGTGTTATGGGATGATTAGATTCTGTACTCGACTAAGTCTTATGACACTAACCATAGGCAATATTTCAGTGTATAATACTGACTGGATTATGAATAGACTAGAAGAAAGTTAGAAGCATTCAAACTAAGATGTTGTATCGATTCATGAAGTTATTAACTATTGATTTGAGCCTTATTGACAAGTAAAGTGTACCTAATTGAGATGAGAAGCTAATAATCATGATTAGTGACTAGAAATGTTAGTTAACATTGGTCGAAATTTGTCATAGTAACCTAAATACATTCATTCTGAATCCTCTTAGATTCCGAATTCCAATATTATCTCATAATTCTTGCTCTATCAATTCATTTCTCTAAAATCATATTCTCTACACTTCTAATCTTGCTATCATTGATAATAAAACTACTCTATGCCATTCTGATTGCATCTCGTCGTATTAATATAGTATAAAAACTCGAAAAACCACATATATGTGCTCACCCATACGTTCATTGTCTGACTGATGACTCCAATAGTTTAAGCTCTTGAGTTTTAATCATTAAGTCACTTGTACAAAATATAACGTCTTCAATAGTTCTTTATCGATGTTTAATACTAATGATTTTCATCCTATATTGTGATAAGATAAATAACTTATCTATTTAAGATTCTCTTCAATATTTATAGCTCTTCCATATTAAGTTTATTCTCTTTAAATCTGCATTAACATAATCATCCTCTCACTTACAAAATAATAATAAGTCACATAAAAACCAATACAAATTGAATTTTGATCTATTGGTTTCGATGTCTATCGTATGTATTATGATGTTTAATCTCAAAAGAAATGATTGACCGTTATAGAACTGAAAAACTATCAGATTAGAAGAAAACAAACTGCTTGATACTGTTTGATTTTTAGTACGATAAAACTACACATATATGAGCATATATTTGGTTTGTTCTAACTGAGGAATATCACTTTATGGTATAAAACACTACACATGTCTAGTTGATTCGTTCAAAACTTACGTATTCATAACTCTTTTAAGCTTCACAGTAGGCGACATTTTATCACTTAACTAAACGTGATCATGCATTTAAATCTGTAAGTTACACTGTCAAATAGTTATCATGAAAATTACAATACTTATGACTGAACTAACACTAATCTGAAAAATAAGGTTTTACCATTCAATAATTTTAGACAGATAGTTCACTTATCTAGGAAGCTTCACCGACTCTGGTGAATTACTGACAATATCTGAAAATGAATAAAAACGGTTCATCTTAATTTTAAAATAATCAGAATATTTACTGAATTTGAAATGAAATCCAGTGGCTATTAGTACTAAAGTTATGTATGTCTTTGAAATATTTCTCGGATATGGGGAAATCACTGTATAAACAAGGTTGAGGTTAGGCATAATTGTTCAAGATAGGAAAACAGGTGGGAGGTCTTCATTACCTTTGTTGACTGAAATATATATATATATATGAAAAACAACCGGCAACTAGAATACACGCTGTTTGGTTGTACTTAAATTGGAAATTAAGGATGGCCAAACTGACCTAGTACATCAGATTGAGAAATCACTAACTTCCGGTTCAACTGTGGTGTATGTTGCTTATGCTGACAGATATAAGTACTATGTAGGAGCAATCGGAAGTGGAATGCCTGCCAGCAGAAGATTGAATTGAACAGAACAGGAAGGGAAACAGAGTAAGTGGAATAGTGACTGAACTGGAAGGATCATGAAGTATTTAAAGACAACTGATGTGAGAGTAATTTATTTAATATATGGTTTTCATATTTTATAAAAGTACTGTGCAATAAACAATAAGTCGATTTGCCCCATCTGAGTTCTCATTCACTTCATAACTACTGTAGGCAGTTTTAAGCTATCGGACTGACATTTTAGAAACAGCTGGTGGTCTATTATACTTAATTCAGGCAGTGAAAATAATATGATGACAAATTTTTGGATAGTGTTTCCCTAATGTTACAGGTATTTCTTATTCATAGATTTCAACAAATATTATGTTTGAATAAAGCGAAAGGTTTCATTGATCAATTCGATCACTTGGCACAATTTGATTGATAGGTATTTACCAAAATGAAAAAATAAACAAAATTATATGAATCACAGTTCAATGATTGATCCTGAAAATCTTAATATATTTCGATAACACAAGTATTATGAGTGAATTTTAACATATTAACTACCTGATCACAATCTATGGTAAAGATTTACGGGTGTTTTCAAACTCCATTCACAATCTCTAAAATACTACAGTTTGTAATCAGAATATAAAAGTGTCTGGGTTATGTTACTGACTACTAATTTGTGAAATGACTCTGCATTTGATCTGGATCAAATTTAATATTAGGCTGTTTGCTCAAAACAGTTTGTGGTGAACTCTACTGAAGATAGAAAGTGTAAAACCTACAGATACCTAATCGTCATTCTTAACAAATATCGTTCTATGTATCAATGACAATGTTGAGCATTGGGTAAAAAGTTAATAAATATATTTTTTGTTATGCCACAACGAGTAGAAAGTTATATTTCTGACGTTTAATGACTATATTGTAAGCCACGAAACGTCAGAAGTATAACTTTCTACTCATTGGGACATAAGAAATATATTTATTATTTTATATCATCCTAGTTTGTTGATGCTAGTTATAGAGTACACGTTTATCAAAACGTATTGATTCATAGGGGTAATCATTTGTAACTTCTAAACATTTGATTTATGCATTTTAAGAGACCTATCTTGGTTTGTTATTTTGATAGAAGTTGGAAGATGATAAAATGATGAGGCTAGCGAGGTGAACACTAGAAAGTGATATGTGAATGTAATGATTTGTGTGAATGCTGCGATAGTTTCTATGGCCTTATGTAGGAGCGGGAAACTTTCTTCAGCGACCATGGCAAGAATTTCGCTCTAGAGATAAGAAACGTTTTTTTACTGCAACCAAACAAATGGTATTCAAGAATAATATCACAAGTTACATGTTCATGTAACCGGTACCTAAATAGATTCATCCCTTCAGGATTTTGAAGCCCATGTATACTACTGTTACGAAATAAGAGTTTTATGCTCCCTGGATAAATCATCATATTTCACCAAACCTGTTCAAGACAGATGTCTGATTTTAATTTTGCTTTAATGGAAAAGTTATTGCCATATGATAACAATGAATAAAACCTAGGAGAAATTATAGACTCATGGTCATGTGAGAGCACTTTGGAGAAGAACTAACCATCTTTCCTCTTGATAATAACAAATCATCTAAGGATCTTGGTTTCTCATGTTAGCAATCTAAGCACAAGAAAGATTTCAATGATCAACTAAATGATACATACCGGTTAAGAATCATATAACAAGTGTATATTCTATAATTATTTTGCAGACAAAAACTGATGTTTAGCTAGCATTAGATTTTATATTTTCTTCAAAACAATTCTTGACGGAACTAGGTGTTAATCTTGATTGATTGATCACTGGGTGGTGATCAATGTCATGTGTATCAAGTCCTTCCTAGTGCAGATCGAATTCTGTTGACTAAGTTGCAATGTGGCCACCAGTCTAGGTGACTCAACACTGCGTGCACTATGTTGAGATTAGATGGTGGTTGGATTACATCTCAGTCCTACAGGAGATAGGTCGCGGCCCGGATAGCTCATTGGCAACGTCTCCGACTGTGAAGCTGGGTGACTCGGAATGGAACCCGTCAGGGAGCGCCAGTTCCCTCAAGATTGCAGGTACACCTTGCGGACGAGTGCCAAGTGGCACGAAATCCGGGTCCAGGGTTTCCTGTCGACTACCTCCAACCACCATCTAGGTGTTATTCTTGTTTCAATTTATCTTTTATATTATAATTTACATTGATTATTTTAGTTATTAATTATTAATTCTACTAGTTTGTGAAAATATAAACTTATTGAATAAAGTATTCAATAAAGTACCCTAAAATCTATATTGATTAATTGAATCTAGTTGTTTTTCTTTCACTTTCAATCTAATTATTTTCTTTAGGAGTATTCACATTCCTTTTCAATTGATCAACCTTTAGCTTCATCAACTCAACAAGCTAATTCTGATATTATTATGAATTATTCTATTAATAATAATAATAATAATAATAATAATAATAATAATAATAATACCAATAACACTATAGTAAATAAATTAAATAATGATAATATTGAATACTTTTATGAAACAAAAGAATGGTATTTGAAATATTTTAGCCGTTATTGTGAAAAAGGTGAAAAACAATATCAACAACAAAATCTCAACCAAACATCTCATGAACAAAACAATCATAAGAAATATCAACAAAATGAAATTATGGAAGTGGAACAACAGGAACAACAACTATCATCATCATCATCATCACAACAACAACAACAAAATATATGGGAAACATGGACAGAAGAATGTGATATCAAATTGAAGATACGTTTAGCTGGTTTTGGGCATTTATGTATTTTACGTGGTAAAATGATACTTGAATCATATTTTCTAATTTTATCAAAGAAATGGATGAAAGCGGTAATTGTCGGTAAGTTTATTGTTTTCAAAAAAAAAGAAGTATCTTTTAATTTACAATATTTTGTTTTAAATGGACGAAGAAGTTTCATTCAATTTAGAACTCTTCAATGTCATTTTGTCTAAGTTACAGTTATGTTCATCTAATGATTATAATTTAAAGGAGGAACACACCATTGCTCGTAATTGCTTATTACCAACAAAAAAATAGTGTTCAGTTGTTCTTTTTAAAGGCCAACTAATTGTTTGTTTTCATCGAAATCATGGAACGATCTACGTTAGACCACCGTTAAAAACCTGAAATCTCTGGGCGGATGTACCATCCTAGTATGGAACTTTTCACC